TCGGGCAAGGTCGAAGAGCTTACTCCGTGATCCTCTTCTGGTGGCAGCCCTTTCTGCACCTGCGCCAACTCCTGCTCAGGGGGGGGGGCGGTCCTGAGGCTGCTCGCCATCCTCGGGCTCTTGGAGCCCCTTCCCTGTATGAGCATCGTTTAACCGACCCCTACGCCCATGGGCGTGGCCTGGGCACCACTGGTCGATTCACCCCCCTAAGATGGAGATGTAGGCTGTTTCCTTCGGGTCACGATGGGTATATCCACAACTGGGGTGCTGAGATGGTGGGGGTCTGGAAAGGGATGGGGATGGGGATGGGCGTCGTCGTCGTCGTCGTCGTCGTCGCCATCGGCAGTCACTGCGGGGACAGAGAGGTGACGGTGCCGCTGCCTTCTGGACCTGTCCAGGGGCGCGCTCTGACAAGAATGCCTCGAGGCAGATCTGCCCATGGCGACGAGGAGCGGGTCGTGGCAGCGGTGCCTCCTCCTCTTCCGAGTTCGGCGCTGGTCGTCGCTCGCCGTCGCCTTCGTCGTCGTCGGCTGCCGTCGGTCGTCGTCGTCGGCTGTCGTCGGCCGATCGGCGCTGGTCGCCGTCTCGCAGGGAGCAGCAATGGCCACTACCACCAAAACTCCATGCAACTCCTCTCCGGGTGGCACTCCGTTCTTGGGGCACTCTCTGCAGAGGCACGCCCGGAACGGGGTGCCACCAGCTCGGAGAGGGGGAGCGGCCGGCCTCCCTACAGCTGGCGGCAGAGGTTCCTTCTCAACTGGGGAGCCTTCGGCCTCTGGGCCGACAAGTGCGGGGGGGCGCCCGCGCGCCCGACCGCTCCGAGGCCTGCGCCGCACGGCTGCCGGCGCTGAGGCAACGTCTTGGGGGGCCAGCTCAGGCGGGGGTCGAAGCGTCGAGCTTGCATCGGCGATGCACCGCCAACAGATCGGCGATGTGCCCCGGACAGCGAAACCGCACGCTTCCTGGGCGGGGTGGGTCAGCAGGTTCCCTACCTCGGCGATGCATGGGCGATTCGGGGTCGATGCGTCCCCCACTGAGGCCCCCCCTCCAGTGCTTCTCGTCGCCCGGCCTTTCGGTCACATAACTCTGGCCTCCGGCAGCCGCTCGGCACGATCCAGGCATCCCTGGAACGCCCCTCGACGAGGCACCGGCGCTGGAAGGCACCCCACACCGCCGAGAACAGGCGGATGTTGGACGAACGGCACAGAAGGTTAGCACAACCTCAGACATGGTCCCCAGATGTTGGCCATTCTTCTCCTACTCTCGAGCGCTCCTCCCGCAGGGGGACATGCCCGACTCGAGCCTCGCCCGTGGGGGCGGCCCGCCCCTGGCGCGGCGCAGGCGGGGGGGCACCCGAGAGAGGAGGGCGCGCCCGGGCGCGAGGGCGGCGCGCACCGTGGCCTGAGGCTTAGGTCGGGCCTGTCTCCCCTACAGGGGGATCTTGGACGAAACAAAAACATAAATACTCCAAAAATGTCCAAGAGGCGAGGCGAGGCGAGGCGCGCGTGTCCGCCGGCCGGTGGCTGGCGGGGCCCGGGGGGCCGGCGCGGGCGGGCCGGGGCCCGTGGTAGTTAGACGTTGGAGTAGGCAATGAAGTCGTTCTCCAGCGACTGCCAAAATTCAGTGTCTGCTGCAAGTTCCACCCAATTTGTTGTGATATCCCCGGCAGTAGCGTAGTGTATGAATCGTGTCATGTCGTCGCTCCAGCGTTTTCGCTGTCCACCATGTCTGCGGCAAGCTTGACGTGGGTCATGGGCGTCGGGGTTCCAGGCTGAAGCGAGCCAAGTCCATCTCTGGCGGGACTGCGTTGCTATGCGTCCTGCCCACCGCCATTTCCGCTTGTGGTACAACGTCGTCCAATCTTCCAAATGAGAGCGCGTTGCCCGATCCATAGCTGCATGGGTCGCTCTGCGTATGTACTCGTCCCACGGTTCGAGGTCAGAGTCGTCGTCGGCGTCGTCGAAGTTGAGATGCCGCTGGATGTCGTTGGAGTTTGTTTGTGGTCCGTCGTCGGGCTGCTCTGTGTCGGAGCTGGTCCCGTCGTCGCGTGGTGTAGTCTGGTTGTTCACTCGTCGTCTGGGGGTGTTCACGATGAGACGTAACATGCGTCGCTGGGTGCGTCTCAGTGCTAAGAGCATGTCCTTGGTGAGCGTCCACGAGGTGCAGCCATGCATGACAGTAGGCGTCACCGTACCATTGAAAAGTCTTAGCCTGCTATGGAGAGGATATCGGCTGCTTGTTAGTTCGTCGTGGAATTTGTTGAACGCGCCCCATCCCATTGCAATTCGGTTGGAAAGCTCAGATTGGTGGTAGTCGTGGAAGGTCAGCTTCCGTCCCAAATACTTGGTGGTCTCTCCGGCTCTGAGGATTGCAATCACGTCGCCGTCAATGTCGGCATGACTCGTCGTTTGCCCGTGCCCCCTGCTGACGTTCGTAAGGATTTTGGTCTTGCCAGGGTGCAACACAAGCCCGCACTTCGCAGCTGTGCGTTTGAGGTCATGCAGAATGCACTTGAGTTGGCGCAGATTTGTCGCGAGCAATAAGACATCATCAGCAAATCGTAGATTAGTAAGAAGCGTGAGCTTTGTGTGCCCCAGCTGTATACCAAATCCCTTTCTTTCCCAAGTTGGTTTGCACTGACGGAACACGTACTCCAGCAGGGCGTTGAAGAGGTAAGAGCTGAGTGGGTCGCCTTGTTTGACACCGCGTTCTATGCTGAAGCTCCTGCTGCTGACGTCTGTCTTCACAGTGGCCACCTGCCCGCTGTAGAACTTCCGTAGTAGGGTGATGTACGGTGTCGGCACGTTCTGCTCCTGCAAAGCTGTCCAAAGGCAATCGTGGTCCACGCAGTCGAACGCTTTTTTGAAGTCGACTGCGGCTGCCCATAAATTTAACTGCCACTCGTAGGAGTTCTCGTGCAGCATAGTTGTGGTGAAAAGGTGGTCCTCTGTGCAGAAGCCCTTGCGGAAGCCAGCTTGGTCGGGTGACTGTTGTGAGTCGAAGAGCGCCGCAAGCCGATTGCATAGCAGTCGAGACATCAATTTGCACAGCAGTGGTATGATGGCGATTGGCCTGTAATTGCTGGGCAAATGCGGGTCGCCGGACTTGAAAATGACACTGATCGCGGTGCGCCTCCATTGCTCGGGAGGTGTTTGGTGAGGCGCGAGAATGTCGTTGAAGAGCTTGAGTAAGTGCTGCACGATCGTCTCCCCCCCTGCTTTCAAGAGCTCTGCAGTGAGGCCAGCCGTGTCTCTGCACCTGCCGTTCTTGAGGTGTCTCGCTGCTTGGTTTAGTTCGTCGTTGGTGAAAGGTGGGATGGCTTGGTGGGCGGTGTCGGTCGCCTCGTCGTTTGTGGTCCTGTCGGCATTGGTGGAGCGCCGGAACAAGTCCTCGTAGAAATCAGCGAAAACGTCTGCTATCCCTTTCCGGTCTGTTTCATTTTTGCCGTCCACGGTCGTCATGGAGTGGATGAGATCCTTCTTCTTACTAGATTTGATCCCGGATATCTTGCTGAGGCCACGGAACTTCATTATGATGTCGTTGAGTGCCGCTTGTCTTTGAGTCCTCTTGATGGCCCGGTGCTGCCGTAGGATACGCTTGCTGAGAGTTGTTCTAGTGATCGTGTCGGTGTGTGGTGTGTTTCTGCGCTGGGTCAGAAGTGTTTGTAGTAGTCGTTAGGCCTCAACGTCTCCGCGCGTTGTGAGTGGCTTTTGCTGTGGTTCGTGCTCTTGCTGTCGTTGGTGGTCTTCGTGCGCTGCTCTGAGTGCTCGTTCAGTGAGCGTGCAGGCTTCTTGCAGGTCACTTGGTGGGCTGTTGCTGGCGAGGTGCTTTTCCAAGTGGCGTTGAAAGTCGGAGTCATTGGGTCGTGGTGGCTGCTGATGCGGATGCTTGCGTCGTCGTCGTCTCTGTCGCCGTGGTCGGTGTCCTGTGTTTTCCAATGCTAGTCGGAGGTGTACGGCTTGATGATCAGAGTTGAGGTCAGGGCACGTCGTAGCAAATGAGTCTGAAACCAAATGCCGGGCCCGTTGATCCACCAGGATGTAGTCGATTTGCGATTCTGCACGTTTGCCGCCTGCAGGTGTGTATGTGAACACGTTTTCGTGGTGCTTGTAGAACATGGTGTTCGCTATGCAGAACTTACGCGCGCAGGCCCATGATCTTAGCCACATGCCGCGTTGGTTACTGCCGTGCAGCCCGTGGTTTCCGAGAACGCGTTTTTCCACATCGTTCATGTCGACGTTGTCGTCAAGTCGCCTGCCAACCTGTGCATTGAAATCGCCCGTCAGCACTGTCGTTCGCTTGTGTCGCTGAGCATCGGCATGGATCTCGGAAAGTGTGTCATACATGGCCTGTATGTGGTGGTCACTGTAACCTCCATGAGGGTAATATGCTGTGATGAGCCGGAGTGGGAATTTAGGTAAGTCGATGTCAATGTAGGCGATCCGTTCGTTGATGGCTATGAATCTCCGGATGCGTCTCGTGTGCCGCTCGTGTACCAGAAACGCAACACCACGAGTTGGAGAGTCGTGCCCAGCAGCTGCAAATATGTGGTTACCACGATCCGTAACCCAGAATTCCCGTTTTGTCGTCCGCCATGTTTCGTTGAGTGCCACCGCGTCCCAGGATATATCTGTGAGTTCGTGGATGAGCAGGTCAATCGCGTCATCGTTGGTGATGCTTCGGGCGTTTTTGTGAATGATCGTCACGGTGTCGTCTCTGGCGCTGGATTGTAGATGGACGTCTGCTTGGTCATGGAGTGCTTGTGGTGCAACTGCCGCTGTCGGTTGCTGTGTGTCCGTTTTCGTATGCTGTTGGCATGGTGCTTGGAAGCATGCCGGTACGTCTCCCTCTGTGGTGGAGTAGCGTCCTCTACCTCCTCCAGTGCTGTGTTGAAACGTGTGTCGATGCGGCTGTTGTCGTTGATCTGGTAAGCAGCGCAGAGTCGCCGAAGCTCCGGGCTGCTCGACGTCGGACTGCACGCCGATCGCCTGTAGCAGGGACGTGTCGGTTTCCTGTGAGGGTTGCCTGGATACTTTGGGTGACTTGCCAAAACTATCAGTGCGATGTTCCCCTCCGCTGTTTGACAGTTCAGGGGTCGAGGGTGAAACATTGAGGGTTGGGATTGGAGAAAGAACAGCCGGATTAGTTTGCCCCGCGCTGAGGTTGATATTCGGAGCACCAGACTGGTTGAAGCTGGAGTCGGGCGTCGTACATGTAGGTATCCAGATGCGACGGGCCTCCTGCAGAGGGTAGGGGTAGGAGAGGTCGGTTGGGAGTGGTCGGAGCGAACGGCGTCCTGCAGCTCCTTGGGAGTGCTGTCTGTCGCCAACACAAAACTGTTGCCCTTCTGGACATACGTGGAGCCTCTGTCACTGGAGGTCCCGGGCGGTCTTCCACTTCGTCATGAAAGTCTCCACGTCGGCTTTGATACTGTCTGCGACTCCGTAGGTGCTCAGCGTGCCGTTCTTGGCGACCTTGGCAAGAAGATTCCCCTTGTGTTTCACCTCGCTTTTTTCCCAAAATACGCGAATCGATTCTTGTGCCAATCCTTTGTTCATGAGGTTGTGTCTGACCTGGCCGAGAGTTTTGTCGATGAGCCTCTTCTCGATTGGGTCGTTGCTCTTACACCATAGCTTGTCGCCGTTCTCCCACTGGGCTTTGGTGCCATGCCATTTTTTGAGGAAGCCTATTTTTCCAGCGTGGGTCTTGAACTGGACAATGCCCAGGCTGCCGGGGTCGCTGTAGGTGAACGCATGATCGATCTTGTCCATGACCTTGAGCTCGTTCAGGATGTTGGTGATCTGCTTTATGATGCTCTCTTCGAGGATTTCTGACTTCAATCCTCCAAAAATCACTTGTAAATCACGTTCTGAATCCTGGGTGGTTCGGTTGGCGCCCTTCTCCGAGATGGTGTTCTTGAGCTCCTTGGTCTCCTCCTGATTTGTGTTCATCATCTCCTTCATTTCCTTGATTTGCGCCTGCACGTCCACGACTGCTTCCATTGCGGAGGCTGCAGTTCCAACTGCAGAGTTGGCAATGTCACGCACGTCATCGATGTCCTGCTTGTGTTGCTGGACCATGGCATAGAGTTCGACGAGGATGTCCCGGTCGGATTTCTTGGAGATGTCGCTGTCGTCATCCTTCCTGTGCTTGCCATCGGGTGATTGACCCACGGAGGTTGGGCCCTTGCGGATCATCTCTGCAAAACCTGGCACGCAAGAGAAAAGATTCAACAATCGATGAAAACACTCGTAGTGTAGAAGGTTGACTTGAGCCAGGGGGCGCTTGAGCCAAAATGGCTAAGAGATGCCCGACAATACCCCAGAAATAGCCCCGAGACTATTTTTTGACTATTTTTGAACATTCCCCCTGAAGAGGAACAGGCCCGACTTCACCTGAGGCACGTGCGCGGCCCAGGGGGGGGGGGCCCGGACGCCTCGAAGCCTGAGATCCGACGCTGCGAAAAAGAAGCTGCCGCATCGCAAGACATCGCGACGGGAGCCGTCAGACCCCGTCTTTCTGCGTCATTTCCCGAGCCAGGTCGGGATCAATCTGCGAGCCCTGGGGCCCGCAATGGAGCGAGAACGCCCAGCGTGGAGAGGTAGCAGCGCCAGGATCTCAGGGAAGGAAGAACAGGGGCCATGACGTCTGCAAAAGTGCCCTGGCCCCGGCCATGCTCTCCACCCCTCCCAGCCCGACCGGGGCGCCCCCTCCCCTTGGCCCGACTGGGACGCCCCCCCCGGCCCGCCGGGCACTCCCCCCTCCCCCCGACTGCCCGGCTGGGACGTCTCCCCCCGCTCGACTGGCCCCTCCCTCCACCCCTCCGCCCTCCTCCCTCCTCCCTCCTCCTCCTTCTCCGCCCTCCTCCCTCCTCCCTCCCTCCTCCCTCCTCCCTCCTCCCTCCTCCCTCCTCCCTCCTCCCGACGACGACGACGACGACGACGACGACGACGAAACCTGGCCGGCGGGAGAGGCCTCGGGAGGCTGTTTCCAAGCCGCGGTCATCGGCCACCTCAAGCCTTGGAGGCTTAAAGTGGGCACCGACACCAGCACCGAGGGCCGCCTCCACTATATAGGGAAAGCGATCCTCGCTTTCGATGCTGGTGGCAATCTCTCCGGCCACCCTGGAAGCCCGAATGTGACCACCATCACCGAGATCGCCGAGAATTGTCGGTGCTGGTGCCAACCTCTAGGCCTCCGACCACTTGGCAGCCCCCGAGGGCGGCCCGCCCGGTGCGCGGCGTGAGGGCCCCTCACGCGGTCACCCGCCGGGCGCCGCCCCGGAGGGGCGCCACCGGGTCCAGCACGCCGCGGGTGTCGTGGTCGTCCTCGGGCGGCGCACGGGGGACGCAGCAGGATGCGCGACTCGACGAGCGGATGGTCCTGCAGTCAGCCCGTGTAATGGATGCGCGGTGAGGATGCCAGGGCCTTGGGAGGCGCTGTCGACACTTTGCGAGCGAGGCGCGGCCAGCGAAAGCGGCCAAGGATGGGCCGAGGGGGAAGGATGCAAGGATAACCCTGGAAATGTGCTCATCCTCACTATGCGGGTTGACTGTAACTGCACCTCGGGACGATCGAAATGGGTAAGGAAAAAATGGGCACGATGTCCAACAGCAGTTCCTTTTCATTTTGAGCAGGGCTGGCTGTCCGCGCCGCCGTGGAGGCTGCTCTTTGAGGTCAAAGAGCGTACCCACCTGTTCCGTACCCATTCTGGGCGTCCACAGCACTGCTGGGTCGGTCTGGGCCGGAGGCGCCGAAGCCCTCAGAAGCTGCCGTCGGGCCAGCGTGGGAAGCATGCCCGACCCGCCGGCCCCCCGCCGGTAAGGGGCGGCGCTCGTGGCCCTCTCGTGGCGCGCGGGGAGGGAGGGACCGATGGTGCTCAGGACGGGCGTTAGCCCAATGCGAGTGTGTGTGTGTGTGTGTTCGATTTGTCGGGCTGTCTGCCTGTCGCTCCTCCACCCTATCGGTGTGCCGCTGCACTTCCGCGCTGCACCCCCCCTGGTCCCCCGCAGTGCAGTCCACCTCCACGTGCCGCCACTCAACCCCTCCCCCCTCACCACATTCTTCTCGCGTCCCCGCGCGAGTGACCCGGTCGATCCTCCATGGGCGGATCCCTGGTCCCCCCACTGCGTGAGCTGGCCTGGCCGCAACGCAAGGTGTGTGTGTGTGTGTGTGTGTGTGTGTGTGTGAGCGTGTGTGTGTGTGTGCGTGTGTGTGTGTGTGTGTGTGTGTGTCAGTCTGTGTGTGTGTCGTGTCTATATACGAAGCACCCCGCAATTGCGGGCGCGGGCGACGCGGGCGTCGTCGAGCCAGCGGGCCTCGTGGCCCCCACCTTCTCTGTCGATGACGCTCTCCTCCTCCTCCTCCTCCTCCACCTCCTCTTCCTCGTCCTCTTCCTCGTCCTCGTCCTCGTCCTCATCGTCGTCGTCATCCTCCTCCTCCACCTCGTCCTCCTCCTCCTCTTCTTCCTCGTCCTCCCTCTCCCCCCCCTCGTCCTTCCATCATCGTCCTCCCATTGTCGTCCTCCCTCTCATCGGCCTCCATCATCGTCCTCCCATTGTCGTCCATCATCATCTCTCCTCCCCCTCCTCCCCCCTCCTCCCCCTCCTCGTCCTCCTCCTCCCCCTCCTCCCCCTCCTCCTCCTCCTTCCTCTTCCTCCTCCTCCTCCTCCTCCTCCTCCTCTTTCTCCAAATTCTCCTTACATCCTCTTTTCTTCCGCGTCCTCCTCGTCCCCTGTTTACTCCTCCTGCCTCCCGCTCCTTTCCCAAGATAACGGCAACGCAATCCTTTTTGTCCATCTCCCCGACTTCTCTGATCAAGGCAACTCGCCAGGGCAAGGTTGCTGGACGGGCTGGTGTGGATGCGCGGGGCTTGAAGAGGTCGTTGCGGGCTCAGACGGCATGCGAAAATCCGCCGCCGCGCTTGCGCGGCATTGGTTTGTTCAATGAAAGTGGTTCGGGTCGCGGGTGGGTCGCGGGCTCTCCACCTCCACCTGGAAGGAATGCAAAAGCAGCCCGCCGCAGGCGCCGAAAAACTTTGTTTGTACACTGAACGTGGTTTGGGTTGCGGGTGGGCCGCGGGTTCTCCACCGGGAACGAATGCAAAAGATGCCCGCCGCAAGCGCCGAAAAATGTGGTTTGTACCCTGAACGTGGTCGCGGGTGGGCCGCGGGCTCTCCACCTGAAACGGATGCAAAAAAATGCCCGCTGCAGGCGCCGAAAAATGTGGTTTGTACCCTGAACGTGGTCAGGGTCGCGGGTTGGTCGCGGGGTGGGTCGCGGGCTCTCCACCTGGAAGGAATGCAAAACAAACCCGCCGCAGGCGCCGAAAATGATTGTTTGTACCTTAAACGTGGTTTGGGTCGAAGGTGGGTCGCGGGTGGGTCGCGGGGTGGGTCGCGGGTGGGTCGCGGGTGGGTCGCGAGTGGGTCGCGGGTGGGTCGCGGGTGGGGGTGGGCGCGGGCGGGCGGGGTGGGTCGCGGGCGCGGGGTCGCGGGTGGGTCGCGGGTGGGTCGCGGGTGGGGGGGTGGGCGGTCGCGCGGGTGGGCGGGTGGGTCGCGGGTGGGTCGCGGGTGGGTCGCGGGGTGGGTCGCGGGTGGGTCGCGGGGTGGGTCGCGGGGTGGGTCGCGGGGTGGGTCGCGGGTGGGTCGCGGGTGGGTCGCGGGTAGGTCGAGGGTGGGTCGCGGGGTGGGTCGCGGGGCGGCTTGCGGGTGGGACGACAACAACAACAACAGCAACAACAACAACAACAACATCAACAACAACAACAACAACACCACCAACAACAACAACAACAACCACAACAACAGCAACAACAGCAACGACAACAACAACAACACCAACAACAACAGCAACAACAACAATAACAGTAACAACAAACAACAAACAACAAACAAAACAGCAACAAACAACAAACAGCAAACAACAAACAACAAACAACAAACAACAAACAAAAAACAACAAACAACAAACAACAAACAACAAACAACAATAATCCGCACCGCGGAATCCCACTTCAGCCACGCACCCAGGAACAGTGAATGACCGTTCGGCCCCCTCACTCTGATACATATATATATATATATATGTATGTGTGTGTGTGCGTGGTGTGTGTGTGTGTGTGTGCGTGCGTGCGTGCGTGCGTGCGTGCGTGCGTGCGTGCGTGCGTGCGTGCGTGCGTGCGTGGGTGCGTGCGTGCGTGCGTGCGTGCGCGCGCGCGCGTGCGTACGCGCGCGCGCGCGTGTGTGTGTGTGTGTGTGTGTGCGTGTGCGTGCGTGCGTGCGTGCGTGCGTGTGTGTGTGCGCGTGCGAGAGAGAGGGTGTGTGTGTGTCTTTGTGTGCGTGCGTGCGTGCGTGCGTGCGCGCGTGCGCGCGTGTGTGTGTGTATATGGGTGTGCGTGTGTGTGTGCGTGCGTGCGTGCGAACCTAAGTGAGAGAGTGTGTGTGTGTGTATTTGCGTGCGTGCGTGCGTGCGCGCGTGCGTGCGAGCGTGCGCGTGTGTGTGTGTGTGTGTGTGTGTGTGTGTTGTGTGTGTGTGTTTGTGTGTGTGTGTGCGTACGTGCGGGCGTGCGGGCGTGCCTGTGTGCTGATGCTATGCTTCGCCGCCAGATCCCTGTGCATTCTTGGTCTTGCGTGTTGCTGCATGCGTAAGCTTTCGTCCTGAACCACAGCTGCAAATCCAAGTGGAAATTGAACTAAGCGCGCCAGGAGGAGGAGCAGGCTGAAGAGGAGGAAGAAACAGCACCCCGCGGGTAATGTTTAACAACAATTTTAAATTTATCCCAGTGCGACCCTACCTCGGAGTTGGAGCCTCTAGGAAAGCCTCTTTTGCTGTGCTGCGCTATGCTGTGATATGCTATGCTATCCTTTGCTATGCTTTGCTATGCTCTGCTATGCTATGCTGCGCAATGCAATGCAATGCTATGCTGGGCTAGGCTAGGCTAGGCTATGATATGCTATGCTGCGCTTTGCTATGCTGCGCTCTGCTATGCTCTGCTATGCTATGCTTGTGAATTGCCTTCGCTTTTGCCTTCCCTTTTGCCTTTGCTGTTGCTTTTGCTTGGCACCTAGGAAGCGCAAGTGGGGGAACCGCGCGTTTGCTTTTACCTGTGATGTTGCTGTCGCTTGGCTCCCAGGGGGCCGGGAAAAAGGCCCGGGGCGAGTTCCACTGCCTGGCCCCTCTACGCAAAGTCAGCAAGAACCCTTCTGGCAGAGCCTAGGTAGGGAAATCTGTTGGGGAGACAGCTAAAAAATTGTGTTCCCCATCGGGGTAGCGCGCCAGTAGCAAACAAAAGAGAAGCGGGGCAAACTGGATCGCTGGAAACGTCCCCGCGACCGCCCTGGCGCCCTGCGTGCGGGGGCAGATTCCTGCGCACCCCCTCTTGGCGGCAGGCCACGCCTGCCACGCCCTGCGACCCCAGCGTGGATAGAGACTGCGCTCAGGGACCACTCCCTGTGCACCGCGCGCCCTGTCTGGTTTGCGAAGCGGCACTGAATACGCAAATGCGGCACGCCGCTGGTAGATGTTATACCACGGGGGCGATGTTTAACTCCAAAACCCCATGGCGAAAACCCAATGTAAAAAATCCTCTTCTGATCGGAAGACGGGATCCCAATGTGGATCTACGTCGCTGAATGCAAACATGCCAAGCGCCAGCGCGCGCGCACGCGCGCGCGGCGGCGGAATGCCGCTGATAGATGTTATACAGCGGGGCGAAATTTCGCGCGATCCTAAACCCAACGGCGAAACCCAATGTAAAAAAACATTCTCTAATCAAAAGACGGGAACATCCCAACGTGGAAATACGACACGGAATGCAAACATGCCAATCGCCAATGAGCGCGCGCGCGGCGGCGGCATGCCGCTGATGGATTTGATACAACGGGAGCGATGGTGGACTCCAAAACCCAATGGCGAAAAACCCAATGTGAAAATTCATTCTCTGATCGGAAGACGGGGACATCCCGATGTGGATGTACGACACTGAATGCAATAATGCCAACCGCCAACGCGCGCGCGGCGGCGGCATGCCGCTGATAGATTTGATGCAACGGGAGCGATGTACTCCAAAACCCAATAGCGAAACAAAATTGTAAAAAGTCATTCTCTGATCGTCTGATCGCCAACGCGCGCGCGGCGGCGGCGGCATGCCGCTGATAGATTTTTATACAACTGGAGCCATGCTGAACTCGAAAACCCAATGGCGAGAACCCGATGTAAAAATACATTCCCGGATCCTCGGGTCGGAAGACGGGAACATCCCCATGTGGATATGCGACACTGAATGCACAAATGCCAATCGCCAGCGCGCGCGGCGGCGGCATGCCGCTGATAGGTTTTATACAACTGGAGCGAGGTTGCACTCCCAAATCCAATGGCGAAAACAACATGTAAAAAATCATTATCTGATCGGAAGACGGGGACGTCCCCATGTGGATATACGGCACTGAATGAAAACATGTCAAGCGCCAGCGCGCGCGCGCGGCGGCGGCACGCCGCTGATATATATATATATATATATATATATATATATATATATATACATATATAAACACAACAAAACGAAAGTTCGCGCGCGCGCTGGCGGCATGCGGCTGATAGATTTTATATAACGGGAGGGATGGTGCACTCCAAAACCCAATGGCGAAAAACCCTCATGTAAAACTCATTCTCTGATCGGAAAACGGGAACACCCTAATGTGGATATACGACACTGAATATAAAAATGCCAAGCGCCAGCGCGCGCGGCGGCGGCATGCCGCTGGTAGATGTTATACAACGGGAGCGATGTTGCACTTCAAAAGCAAATGGCGAAAACCCAATTTAAAAATTCATTCTCTGATCGGAAAACGGGAACATCCCCAGGTGGATAGACAACACGGAATGCAAAAATGCCAATCGCCAACGCGCGCGCGGTGGCGGCATGCCGCTGATAGGTTTTATACAACGGGAGCGATGGTGCACTGCAAAACCCAATGGCGAAAACCCGAATGTAAAAATTAATACTCTGATCGTCTGACGGGAACATCATCATGTGGATATGCAACACTGAATGCGCAAATGCCAATCGCCAACGCGCGCGGCGGCGGCATGCTGCTGATCGGCTTCTATACAACGGACAACGGGAGCCATGTTGAACTCCAAAACCCAATGGCGAGAACCCAATGTAAATATTCATAATTTGATCGGAAGACGGGAACATCCCCATGTGGACATACGACACTGAATGCGTATGTAAATGCAAATTGCCAACGCGCGCGCGCGCGGCGGCGGCATACCGCTGATAGATTGTATACCACGGGAGCGAAGTTGAATTCCAAAACCCAATGGCGAAAACCCAATGCAAAACATCATCAAGACGGGAACATCTCCATCGGCATTCTCCCTGGTACCGAGGTGTATACAAGTGGCATCGATGGGCACCCATGCAATTTTTCCAGGGGGGACAGATAAGAAAAAGTGTTTCGGATGCGAATTAATGGCAGTCCGGATCCGCGGGGGGGAAGGGGGGGTCATCATGTTTTTAACCGGTTTTGGACATTAGCGTGGTCGTCCTCCCGTCGGGGACATCGACACGCTGAGCAAACGCCCCTGACCGCACCAACAGCCAGGGAGGAGGCGGTGCAGAATGCCGCCCACCAGCAGCGCCTTCCTGCGCGCCGCCGATGGGGGTAAAAAGTGCCGATGCCGTTGCTCCCCAAACCTCTCCCAGGGTGCGCTCTGACCAGAAGTCTGAGGCGAATCCGGCCGCGTCGACGAGGGCCTCTCTGGAGGCCCCCAGAGGCGCAAACGAGGGAAGGGTTGCGGTGTCGGTACATTCCCTGCACCGCACCGCGGCCCAGGGTCGCCACGAAGACCCCGACCCCTTCCCTGGGGGATGTTTTGTCTCGGATCCAGTCTTGATGGTCCCCCGGGGCCCGATGAAGCGCCCTCGAGGCCGACATCGAGGAAGAAAATCGCCCGGAATGTGAGTGGTGGCGCAGCCGTGGCCCCCAAAGCGCTGGCGCTCTGACGCTCTTGACAATCCGGACGCTCCTGACGATCTTACGCCCCTGACGCCCCTGACGCTCCTGACGCTTATGGCGCCCCTGAAGCTCCTGACACGCCTGACGCTCTAACGCTCCTGACACCTGAAACAAAGGGTCCACATCCGCTCCTTACCATTCGCCTTCTTCCCCCATCCCCCTCCTCCTCCTCCAACTCCTCCTCCTCCTCCTCCTCCTCCTCCTCCTCCTCCTCCTCCTCCTCCTCCTCCTCCTCCTCCTCTCCTCACTCCTGACGCTCCTAGCGCTCCTGGCGCTCCTGGCGCTCCTGGCGCTCCTGACGCTCCTGGCGTTCCTGGCGTTCCTGGCGCTCCTGACGCTCCTGACGTTCCTGAGGCTTTAGACGCTCCTGAGGCTTTAGACGCCCTGGAGCGTCAGGAGCGTCCCGAGCGTCAGAGCGTCAAAAGCGTCAGGAGCGCCAAAAACGTCAGATCGTCAGCACTTTTTTCGGGGACGCGCTGCGCCAGCTCTCCGGAATGTGATTGGCAGTTACGGGCCCCCTGACATAGTGGGAGCGGACCTGAGTTCCAAGTGGCTCGAGACATGAGGGGCAATGGTCTTTCCACCAGATGAGTCACACCAGACCATCCAGATTGATGATATCACCAACGCAAGGACTGGGCTCTGACTCGGACTAAGTTTTCATTGTGCCGTCAGGGTTGGACTGGCTGACTGGCAAACCATCCACCAGGCGGTGGAGCCAGTGACTGACTGACTGCCAGAGGCCGGCCCGTGGCACTCCGAACCCGGTGGAAAAAAACTGGACGTGTGCGCTGGGGGGCCATCCATAGGCGCCGCGAGCGGGAACAGCGCGGCAGCAGGCCCTACTGGGACGAACAAGGAGGAGAACGAGGAGGAGGAGGAGGAGGAGGGACAGGAGCAAGCGAGGAAACAATGTACGCGAAAGTTCCACAAAGTGCTGTTAGAGATAGGGGCTATGTTATTCCTGATGAAGGTTGGAAGAATAGTATCGTCTGGGATCTGGTATGCCGCGGAGGTCCTGCTGCCCCGCCCCGCGGCCCACCGCCGCCACCAGCATGTCTGCGAACGCTTCCCCGCTGACCTCGAGGGGCACCGATGCGGTGCGGATGGGGCCGCAAGAAACCCCCGCAAGAAACCAAGACCGTCTCGAGTCATGAACAACACCACGGCGGAACAAGTCTTCTAGGGGGCAAACAAACCTACTTCGCTTTTGACCACCCTCGCTTCCAAGCGATACCAAGCGATGCCAAACTACGGCCTGCGCTGGTCAGGCCGCTTGACGAGGAGGCGCGTGGTATGACTTGGTTTTGCCTGGAAGCGAAAGCAGGGTAGGTAATTCACGCTCTGATCTTCGCCATGTTCGGCGCCTGCTGGTCCCTACCAGTCCTCGGGACCCTCAAAGGTGGCTCAGGATGAAAACTGCTCACGGGGAACGGGTCGAGACCACTGGGGGTCGGCGTTAGGATAAAAATCATGACGTCGTGGGCCTGGGGCGGCCGCAAGAAATCCTCGCGGACGACCCAACTGAAGACCCGCGCGCGAAGTGCAGCCGATGGAGGAACTTAGAGCACCCGGAACGCAACAACTGCTTTGACGGTCGCGGAAGAGTCACCGCGCAGCGCGCGGGGTGAAGAAGCCCAAGGTACCCTGACGAGAAGCATCTGGTCCGCTGGTGTGCGCCCCCCCTCTTGAAGGGGTGGGACCAGGGCAGGTGTGGGGGGGCGGAGGGACAGCGAGCTGGAACTGGCGATGCATCGCCGACAGATCGGCGACAGGGCCACGGATAGCGAATGCGGAAGTTCCTGGGCGGGGAGGGCGATCGAGCCATGACTTCCGCGGTGAACGGGCAGTAGGGGGGTCGATGCGTCCCCCCCTGAGCATATCTTGGCGGCGCGCAGAAGGGGGTGGGGGGAGGGGGGAGGGCTTCTTAGAAGCAGGCTGCTTCTTAGAAGGCGCCGGCCTTACATCTATAGATAAGGCCGACGCCTTCTAAGAAGCAGGGTGCTTCTAAGAAGCCCCCCCCCTCCCCCCACCCCCTCTGCGCGTGGCTGAATATCCCAAAAAAAATTCTCGTCGTCTGGCCTTCGGGTCATAACCCTGGCCTCGAGCGGCCATTTCTGGACGGTCCGGGCCCGCCGGGAGTCCTCTCGACGAGGCGCAGCTGCTGGAACGATCCCCGAGGCTGGAAAACCGCCGAAAGCCTGCGAACATGTACTCCAAAGCATCGAACCCCGACGCCGAGACAGTCGCCCCCCCCGTGACGTGGCCCCTGATGCCCGACGCTGCCGACGACGCGAAACATTGCGACATCGTAAGAAATCACGCCCAGATCCCCCGGTCCATTCTTTCTGCCGCATCTTTCGAGCCAGGTCGATCTGTGAGGGCCCTGGGGCCCGAAATGACGCGAAAACGCCCGACTCGAAGCAGCTTGCGACGCGAGGATGTCAAGGTTCCTTCTGTCACCCCCTGAACCCAACGACTGTTCTTCTAGGGTTCGGCGATAAGCCAACTCATCGGGCTCAACCGCCCTCCGCCCTCCGCCCCTCCCCCAAGGATAATCTGACCTTCAGTCGGCTGTGAGGGTCCGAATACGCTGGTACGCGCGGGCACACGTGGGCGTCCCAAAGCGAAACGGTTGGGTTATCGGCTGTCACCTCCCCCACCCCACCCCACTGGATAACCTAGGTAACCGATCCCCGACGTCATGATTTTTTCATGACGTCGACCCCCAAAAGTCTCGACTCATTCCCTGGGACCGGTTTGTCATCCTGGATCTTTTCACGACTGTCCAGAGGCACGACAAGGGCCAAAAGAGACCGAAAATGGGGAGAAACCTCCCGCCGTGATGTGCTCATGACTCGAGGTGGTCGGAGACCTCAGGGTTGCCCCTGGTCCCTCCTGAGCCTACGGTCGGAACTCCTGGATAGCGTGTCGTCACGGCGGCCCTGGCGACCTGCGAGTGAATAGCGCGTCGCTCCGCTCCGCGGGCCGAGCGGCTCGGGGAAACTCGGGACGTTGACGCTGGGCGGCCGGGAAGCGGATGGGGTGTCGCACCGAAGCGTGATGGGCCAGCACCGGCGGAGCGACACGCTATCCCCAGGTTCCCGACCGCACCCCCTGACGGACACCCGGGGCGCGTCCCGACCAGGATACCTCGAGGCGGATCCGGCGGTGGCCACGAGGCCTCCCAGCAGGCCCCACGAGGCGAAAACGAGCCGAGTGTAGCAGCATGGGCACCTCTCCCTCCTCTGAGACCCAGACATGCGACGTCCTGATTTTTTCAGGACGGCGTCCCCGGAAGTCCCGACCCTTTCCCCGGGGCCGGTTCTTCGTCCTGAGTCGTTTTTTGACGGTCCCGAGGCCCGGCGAGGGCCCCCCGAGGCCGAAAATATGCAAAAACCTCCCGTCCTGATTTTTTTACGACGCGATCATGTCTGGGGACGTTCCCCCCGCTGGCCGCGGACAGCCGCGACACGGGGCGGCGGGCAGCCGCGGGCGGCGCGGGCGCACGCAGCGCCGCGGCCACGGGCGCGTGCCCCCCGTCCCCCGCGGCAGGAAGCTCCGAGGCAGGCCCGCGGTCCTGTAGCGTGGCACCTCCTTCTTCCTCGTCCTCTTCCCCTCCTTCCTCCCCTCCTCCTCTTCCTCCTCCTCCTCCTCCTCCTCCTCATTCCTCCTCCTCCTCCTGCTCCTCCTCCTCCTCCTCCTCCTCCCCATCCCCCTCCTCCTCCTCCTCCTCCCCTCCTCTCCTCCTCCTCCTCCCCTCCTCCCCTCCTGCTCCTGCTCCTGCCTCCTCCTCCTCCTCCTCCTTCTCCTCCTCCTCCTCCTCCTCTTTCTCCTCATCCTCTTTCTCCTCCTCCTACTACCCCACCTCCCCCTCCTCTCATCCTCCTCCTCCCCGCGGTCGGTCGATCGATAGAAGCTGTCTGGGAATTTCGCAGCCGATCCCTGCAAGACAAGGTAAGTACAATTAGAGAGATATATATAGAGAGAGAGAGAGAGTGAAAGAAAACAGTGCGTCAGGGTGTCATTCATCCTGGGCGGTTGCCTGCCTGAGAGACGTCACCGTCCTCTGCGAAAGGATCAAGGCACTTCCCAAGAAACGCCCTTCGGAAGCGGTTAATCGTGAGCCCCATCCACTCCCCCCGCATCAGGGATCATGTGGGCAAAATGGGAATCAATGCAACAATCAATGATGGCGTTGTCTTGCTCGGCTCCCTGCAAAATAGCATCTCCTGAAGAGGCATGGTGCAACATGCGGCTACCGGTCCGTACCTGGCTCAACCGAGTCCTGTCCAACAACGGCCTAATGGCATCTGATATCCCAATATTGTGTAAGAGTTCGGGGGCTGCTGCCATAAGGAGCATACTGTTTCTCATTTGCAGGTTTTCCTGGTCCACCAAGGAAGATTTCAGTCGGCTGGCGAAAGAGGGCCTCAGATCCGTGGAGGGCGACCGTGGGTGCCCTGGTCTCCTCCACACTTGTCCCCCCCAAAGTGGCGATAGAGAGCACGGCGGCGACATGACATTGCCTGATCCATCTGGGCCAGTTCTGAAGGTCCTCGCCCTCCTCACTATCATCCCAATCTACCCTGACGACTGGGGGGGTCGCTGCTTCCAGCCCCGCACTCAAGCGTTCTAACCATTCCTCAGAGATTCTCCCCTTCGGTTGAACCCACAACACCGATAATTGCCCTCCATGGTACTCCGGGTGGGCCAACTGGAGCATTGGCTGACACCTGGGTGGTTCCCATCAGCGCTTCCCCTTACAACTGCTTGACTTCCGGCGGGGTAAGCTCCACAGCGGGATTCAAGGGAGGTGGCGTCAGCGGAGGATGAGGGTCACAACAAAACGAGGGGCCGAGAGTGCGCACTGGAGGGTAGGTGACTGCATTGTCTTGTCTTCCAATGGCTCGGTCTAGCTTCTGCGTGTCGCTGGCCTCTTGCCTGCTGACTTGGACTGCTGACATGGGGGCCATTCTTCCCGCCTCCCACCAACGCTGGCGACAATGCTGGACTCTGTGCCAGAGTGACACGAAATTTCTGCTGATATGCAAATGCATGCAGCAACGTTGACTTATCTGGCTGGTGGGCGCTCTTGCAATGCCTTCTTCTGAGTGCCAGAACTGTTCCCCCCTTGTCCGTGCAGAAGCCACATCCATGATGCGCGTAGTGCGTGCGTGTGTGTGTGTGTGACAGTCATCTGCTCGTTCCCCCTATGAGAGTTCCAGCCCTTGCGAGCGCAAGCTGTTGAAGCTGCATGAATCGGTGTAGCTCTCGCTGATCTCTGGCAAGTCCAGAGATCGCGTGACCACGAGTTTGAGCAAACCCAGAAAAAGGTGCCCCCTGTTTCCCTCGACGTGCTGAAGCCAGTCTGGTACGTGCCCCCCTTGGCGGAATGTGTTTTGTTTGCGCGCCAGTCCGTAGGCCCATCCCAGGTCGTCCTGCATGGGCATGGGCCAGCCCGTCTGCGCATCCCAAAGAACGTCCACCTGCAGATGCTGAGGTCCCCCCTTCATTCCCCTTTCATCGATCTCGTCAAATATAGCACAGCCTGGATGCCCTCATGACCTGTTGAATTGGGCTTCTCCGCGCCATGACCATCGCATCCCCGAGGGCCCAGCGTTGATCGGCAAGGGCAGGTCCCGTGGCAGCAGTATCCGCCGCCGTGCCCTTCAGCGCGGCGTGGGCGCGCTCTCGGGTCCCCTGGCCTGATCGCCTGACCCTCGCTCCTCACTGCAAGGGGTTCTTGCAAAAACCCGGACCCCTCGCTCTCAAATCTCTCGAAGCTTCTCGCGTCTCGTCGCGTGCCTCTCTTGGAGCTGAGGGGCCCCTGCGACGGGCCATGGAGGCCCCGAGAGGCCCCCACGACAGTCCAAGGAGAGCGCCCCGAGACGGCCCAAGAGGCGCCCGAGACGGCCCGAGAGGGCCCCGAGACGGCCCCAATGTGAGCGAGCAGGCATGGCCCCGCTCCCATCTCCTCCTCTCCGCGGACTCCTTGGATCAAGGACCCCTTCTCCCAGGATCCCTGGCTGAAGGCATCATTCATCAGGAGTCCCTGCGAAGTGAAGCAGTTGTGGGGAACCCTCGCTGCAGGGACCCTTCCTGCGGGGAACCCCTGTGCTGCGAGCGCCAAATGGGAGGATGAGAGTCCCCCCTCCCCAGAGCATTGTCTTCAAACTTCCAGCCCCACGCCTGTTGGCGAGTGGCTGGAACTCCATGGCCCATGCTCGGGGGCCATGTTTTCTTCTGTCGACTGGCTGTCCTCCAGGATACCTTCAGACTGTCAAGATACCCTCCAAATGTGTCACGATGCTGGAGGAACAAAAGGGAAGAGGAGGAGGAGGAGGAGGAGGAGGAAAACGATGAGGAGAAAGGGTATGAGGCATGAAAACGCACGCAAGTCTCGTGTGGCAGAACGCATGCTCCACAATGACCTGGCCTCGATTTTTGATGGCTCGGCCTCCAAGGCCACGAGGTTGACAAAACAAGTCGTCCGAGATCTGAGGTCGACGTCCTTCCAGAGAGCCCCACCTGCAGGTCCCACTCGTGAGGCAGACGCGTCACCATCGATGCATCGGCGACGTCGGCGATGCGTCGGCGATGCACCGAGCAAGGCCAGAATTGAGAGCAGTCCAACTTCACATCGAGCTGCATCCCCGATGCACTGGCGATGCGGCGTGATCCACCGACCCCTTCTGCTCGGATCCCGCTTGCGTCGGGAGCGGCCAAGAGGGGGGTGTCCAAGAGGGGGGGGTGCAGATCATGACCAGCGGCACATGCGCGGCCCGGCGGGGGGGCCAGGGACGCAATGAAATAAGAAGAGGCGCCATGAAATCTGGGGAAATATCATGGCCCACGCCATGATATCCACCCCCCCCTAGTCATCACCCCCCTCTTTGCCGCCCCCGATCTTTGAGCCACCGACAGGCCCTCTTGGGGCCTCCCCGGGGCCTCCCCGGGGCTGGGGCCGCCGCCGGCTTCAAGGGCCGCCCTGGTCTCTGGCGGCTGCCAGAGCCTCCGCGAGGAGAGGCGGCACGGCACTCGAGGAGGAGGAGGAGGAGGAGGAGGAGGAGGAGAAGCAGGAGGAGGAGGAGGAGGAGGAGGAGGAGGAGAGGAGGAGGAGAGGGGCACGGCACTCGAGAGGAGGAGGAGGAGGATGAGGAGGAGCAGGAGGAGGAGAAGGAGGAGGAGAGGCGGCACGGCAGGAGGAGGAGGAGGAGGAGGAGGAGCAGGAGCAGGAGCAGGAGCAGGAGCAGGAGCAGAGGAGGAGGAGGAGGAGGAGGAGGAGGAGGAGGAGGAGAGGCGGCACGGCACTCTCTCTCTCTCTCTCTCTTTCTCTCTCTCTCTCTCTCTCTCTCGGAGGAGGAGGAGGAGGAGGCGGAGGAGGAGGAGGAGGCCCCCGATTGTGGGAGGCCCAGGCTCGCCCAGCCGGGGCCCCGCCTTCCGGAGGGGCCGCCGTCGGGGCCCCTCGCGCAGCACCCCCGCGGAGCGGCGGCGGCTCGCGCGGACGACGACCGGCAGCGGCGTCCACGAGACCCCGCGACGCCTCGGCCATGGCCCTAAGCCGGGCGTATCCCCCTACAGGTTTTCTTTCCGACGGGACCCTGTGGAGGGACAGGCCCGACTTAGCCATGGCCCTCTGTCGCGCTGCCCTCCCTCGACGCCCCGCGAGGGTCCCACTCGTGCGGCAGGCGCTGCCAGGACACGAGCGCGGCGGGGCCCGCCGGCCCGCCGCCCCGCTCCTGGGAGGGGCAGGCAGCGGCACAGGCCACACCCGCTGCGGCATCGAGCGTCGGGCTCCCGTCCCCCCCAGAAAAACCAGAGGCGCACTGGACGTGGAGAGACGTCTGCACCCTTTGAAGGGGCCCCAGGACACACAAACAAATACACACAAATAAAAAGATTCCCCATATTTTGTTTTTTTTGTCTTCCCCCCACACTACCCATATTTTTGCATGTTTTCCTGGGAGTCGACGATTCATTGTGTCTGTGTGTTTCTTTCCCTCCTGACCCTTGTGGGGCCAGCCTTGTGTCCAGCCCCCAGTGCGCCTCGGCCCCGTGGCGGCCCGTCCCAAGAGAGTCCAGGGCGCCCCGGGTCTGCCTCCTGCCCGCGACATCGCATCTCGGAGATCCGCGCAGAGAGCTCTTGGATCGACACTCGGCCCTCCCCCCCCCCTTCTCCTCCTCCTCCTCCTCCTCCTCCTGCCTCCTCCTCCTCCTCCTCCTCTCTCCTCCTCCCCCCTCCTCCTCCTCCTCCCTCCTCCTCCTCCTCCTCCTCCTCCTCCTCCTCCTCCTCCTCCTCCTCCTCCTCTCGTCCTCCTCCTGCTCCTCCTCCTCGTCCTCTTCTCTCTCGTCGTCCTCCTCCTCGTCTCTCCTTCTCGTCTTCCTCCCCGACTCGGAAACAATGCGACGCCAGGATCATAGAGGCTTCTTGGACAGTGTCCGAGTAGACGGGGTCGGAGGATCGGCGACGTCGGCGGTGTATCGGCGGCGCCAGCGCGGAGAAGGTTGGCCTCAACATCGAGCCGCATCGCCGATGCATCAGCGATGCGGCGCGATCCTCCGACCCCATCTGCTCGGACCCCCTTGGGAGGCCTAGAGATCACAGGGTCCGAGGCATGAGGTTGATGCTTGCCAGGTAGCGACATCCGAGCCCTACCCCCACCAACCATCGAGTCGTCTGAGTCGATGGGAGGTGGGAGTAGGGTTCGAATCACGCCACGTGTTCGACGAATTCCGAACCCTACGCTACGCCCGCCGCCGCCAATCTGGGACGACCGAATTATCCAGGATAACTGCGGTCCAGAGTCACTCCGTTTTGGGCCCCCGAGGCACGAATCTGTAGTTACCTGTGCCTGTCCCAAGCCCCGATGATTCGTCAAGGCTGGACGCCCGAATTATCTGGGATAGCTGCAGTCCGGGATAGCTCCAGTCAGGGCCCCCGAGGCTCGAATCGGTAGCGACCCCTGACCACCCCGAGCCCTGATGGTTCGGAGCTCTGAATTTCGGCTGCAACTCATGAGAGCCTCCCATACCATCTTGTCAGCTCTTGCGATTCGACGCTAGTCGACGCTAATCAACGCTAAATCGTGGCTAATCGACGCTAGCCGTCGGCACATCGGCGCTATCTAATCGACTACGCTAATCGACGCTATAGCCGATGCTAACGACGGGATTGAGAGGTTACACCAAACTCCCATAAACTGTGATCGAACGGAATCGAGTTGCCAGAATCGCTGAACGGCCAGGGGCAGAGCTCGGCTTTCGCCGCCGACTCTTGGCGCGCTCCGCTTTGGACGCCCGAAACGGGTACGGAAGAAATGGGTACAGTGCCCAACAACAAATGTTGTCCCAAACCAGCGGCGGCCGCTGTTGGGCAGGCGGCTTCTTGCCTCACATGGACACAGGCCGCGCCGCGGCGGCGCGGACAGCGAGTCCTGTTCAGAATGAGCAGGCACTGCTGCTGGGCATCGTACCCACCTTTCCCGCACCCAGTTCGTTCGCGCTGATCCGCGGCGTGGCCCGCCGCGGCCCCGGCCGCCGGCAGCGCGAGCCACGGCGCCAGCAGGGCGCGCCAGCGGGGCGGCTGCTTCATTCGCCGGCGGAGGCGGCTCGGCGGCGGGCGATGGGCGGGGGGCCGTGTGCCGCCAGAATTAAGTCGGGCGTGGCCCCCTACAGGGGGATTTCGCTGAAAAGTTTAAAAAAGACCCCAACAATACTCCAAAATGGTCCAAAAATACCCAGAACATAGTCCCCAGACTATTTTTGACTATTTTGGAATACTGCTCCTGTAGAGGGACAGGCCCGACTTACTGCCAGAAATGTCCCTGGCCCAAGGTGCCGCGAAAGAGCGGTACTGCGGCGCCGGGGCTCGCTCGGGCCACAACCTGGTTGGACGGGCGAGGGGGCGAGGACCCGGATCTCCGACGAGGTGTGTGTGTGTGTGTGTGTGTGTGTGTGTGTGTGTGTGTGTGTGTTTGTCGGTCCAGGCATCTTGTCCTCGATCCTTCGGGAAGCGTCCAGGGGGTGAGGCGTCCAAGAGGGGGGTGCGAAAGTCATGGCCCGCGGCATGTGCGCGGCCCAAAGGGGGGAAGCAGGGGACAGCTATTGAAATAAGAATAAGGGGCATGAGATCTGGAGAGATGTCATGGCCCCAATTACGCTATCCCCCTCTCCCCCTAGGCATGAGTCCCCTCTTGGCCACCCCCGGGTCAGTCAAGCTTTGCAGGATCCTGCAGGATCCTGCGCGCAAGCCCAGGGCAATGCAGCCCTGGCCTTCCAGGATCCTGCAAGCTCTGGCGCCCTGGCTGACCCCAGCTTGCATGGACTCCCGTCTCGCAAGGCTCCCGACGAGGAGGGGCGCTCGTTGTCGGTCCGGGCGTCTCGTCCTCGATCTTGGGCCCAGGGGGGCGCGCTCTCCTGTGCCCAAGGGGCATCAAGAGCCGAACGCGGGGCCGAAGCGCTGCCCCCCATAAGGGAGGGGCTGGCACTTCTGGGGCCGCGCGGTGGCAAGATCATGCCAGGGGGATGTCTGGGAGCGCTGCGGTGCCAGTCGGGCCACGGCTTGGGTGGGCGAGGGGCGAGGAGGGGGGGGAGTCAGCCAGGGGGCGGAAGGGGGGGTCGGGAGGGGGGGGGGACGAGCATGTTGAGTCTGTGTGTGTGTTCTCTGGGCCTGCCTAGTAGGCGCCTTCGTCGCCGCGGCTGGATCCGCCTCGAGTTTGGTCGGAGCGCACGCACGGACTGGACAGGTCCAAGTAGGATGATCAGCGGCGGGACAAGAAGCGGGATGAGGGGGGGGGAAGAACAGGAGAAAAGGAGGACGAGACGTGACCCTGGGCAAGAGCGACCCTCGGTGTGCGGCTTCAGCGGGGCGTAGGGCCCGCAACCTGAGCGCACACTTTCCGCTACTGTCGCATCCGATTCGGCGGTCAGGGGATCCGGCAGGCCCGGACCAAGGGCCGCTCCTGCGAAGGGTCGCCCTAACGCATAGCCGACTTCCTGCCGGGCCCCCGTCAAGTATCGCCCCCCCCCCCATGGCGCAGCACCCGAGCAACATTGCTGGAGACACCCCAATGGCAGACTCTGCCGGCGCACCCGGAGGCCGCTCGAGGACCACGTGCAGAGATGGCCGCGCGCGGGTGGGGGCAGGGGGACGAGGCAAAGGTACCGATACCGCAACTCCCTGGACCTCTCCGGGGGTGCGTTCTGGCCAGAACTCCGAGGGGCACCCAGCGGTGGCGACGAGGGCGTCCTGCAGGGCCTCCTGTAGGAGGGCCGGGCAGCGGGTTAGGGGCACCCCTTCCTCCCCTGAGGGGGAGGGGAAGAGGGGAAAAGAGAGCACGAGGGGAGGGCAGCGCATTAGAACACCTCTTCCTCCTCTGAGGGGAAGGAGGAGGAGGAGGAGGGGGGGAAGGAGGAGGAGGAGGAGGAGGAGGAGGAGGAGGGAAAGAAGGAGGAGGAGGAGGAGG